AATGTTAGTCATATATAATATAGATGATGTATTGATAAACAATATTGGTCATATATAATACTGATGACGTATTGATAAACAATATTGGTCATATATAATACAGGTGATGTATTGATAACCAATGTTGGTCATATATAATATAGATGATGTATTGATAAACAATGTTCGTCAGATATAATATAGGTGATGTATTGATAAACAATGTTGGTCATATATAATATAGATGATGTATTGATAAACAATGTTGGTCACATATAATATAGATGATGTATTGATAAACAATGTTGGTCACATATAATACAGATTATGTATTGATAAACAATGTTGGTCATATATAATACAGATTATGTATTGATAAACAATGTTGGTCATATATAATACAGATTATGTATTGAAATATTAATGTTGTTAGGAATCAATGTAAACGATATATATTGAAAGATAAAGTATTTCGAAGGTATTGTGAATGTAATACAGATATAAATAATTCTTATAATAATTTTGAGAATCAAAAATGTAAGAGTAAAATTTCCTCAGACATACCGTGAATAAGTGTCGAATCATTAATTATATTGAAGCGAAGTAACTGAAATATTGAAAAAATATTGCGAAGAGTTATAGATGATAATACAGAGATAAGTAACGTTTCAACCACTGTGCAGGTGAAAGTCTGCACCAATAGGCCATAAGAAACTTCAGACCTGATAGACTTCACGTTGGGAGATATTATAGGTAACGTAAAGATTGTTAAGAAATACTGTGTATAGAATATTTAAAGTTGTTTTTTTTCTAAGAATGAAATAGTCTAGAAAATACTTCGTTTAGGGAGGGATACAGGCGTAAAATATCAACCAATAAATGTCTTGTTCGTACTTGGTTAAAAGTCATTTGCTTTGGAAGGATATGGTAGTTCTTAAAATTTCTTAGAAAAAAGAAAAAAACACTTGTGATAGATTCAGACTTTTCCAAAAATATTTAGTCATTAGATTAAAATGATTTACATACATATATAAATATATATATATGTTATTACCAAAATTTACATACATATATAAATATATATATATATTTGTTATTACCAAAATAACGTTCGAGAAAGAAACCAACACAAAGAATTGATCAATTTGATGACTGGCCCACGTACTTGAATAAAGATATTGTTAACTTAAACAATAAAAAAGAAATTAAACAATTGTAGTTTATTATAAATTATGGAAAAATATCAATGCATTACAGGAATAATTTAATTAATTATAATTAACAACGGATATTTTAATAACTCTAATTAGTGTATGATCATCTTGTAGAACCCATGGAGAAGCCAGAACTTGGCACATGGTATCATATTAATAAATTTAAGATAAGTAGTTGTTTTTCTTTATCCTGAAAGAATAACAAAAATAAAATCTACAAGAACTTACACTGTATGTATAATATTAGCAAATCCTTGTTCATAATACAACTCATGCAAAAAAAAATAGTGAAAACTACGTCAAACCTGTTTAAAAGAAAACATGCTTGCAACGCCCACAAATGTCAACAGAAGCGACTACAAGTGTCAAAAACAATCAAACACAGACGTGATAAATTTGGCTACACTTGTAAGAATATGATTAAATGTCTATTATACGTTTTTGTTCAACAAGATATTGTTGATTTGAATAGGTAACACTTGTGATTATTATCACAGTATGAAATATACTTGATGAGAAAACTACGCATAGCAATATCATAACAACATGCCAGTAATTCCGGATGCACTGTTTACCAAGCAAACAAGCATGCCTATGTTGTATGCACCACAGTTAGAGATAAGAAGAGTTCTCACACACCACACATCTCTCCATTTTCCAGTTGAATGAGGATATTGTCTATTTTGTATGTGAACTTTGACCCGAAGGAGTGAAGAAAGTCTAAAAAATTGGAAAAAGAACCGTATATTTTAATCTTTGGTTAATACAGTAAACTTTCTGTTGGGTTTTTTTGTTTGTTTCATACAATGTGTAAATGCAACTACAGAATAGGTTAAATGTAAATGTAAATTAGGTTAAATGTAAAATAACTACAATTACAACTGATTTACAAGCGAAGATAATTTGAAACCTCGCTGTAAACAAGGAAGAATTTGTACCTTATAATTGATAAAGATATTAAAAACACCAGGATCCTCTATAAATATATAATCGAATCAGAATCGTCTGAAAGTTACAGTAGTGAATTCTCTTTACTTTTTATTACCTCCAGACTTCTCAGCTAACATAAGAACATTCAGCACTACAGGATTATGTTGTTGTTTTTTACAGGTCAATATCACAAACTAAACCGAAACTAATATTCCGAATGTTCAATTGTTTGTTTGTTCTTATTGTTGAAATGTGTGTTTTGATTTTCATTAGTATTTGTATTTCACGTTTCAGAAGTAAAGTTAGTAGCTAATTAAGCAGCTAGTTAGTACAATTGGAAAATAATTTTTTAAAAAAGTTAAGAATAAATGTAGTTTCTCCACTTCACATCTAGGAAACATTTGCTGAGTTCAGTTTACGCTTACTTTAATATATAGTGATCTAGTATCAAATTTTTGGAAAGTGATCGTAATCAAGCAAAGTTTAAAAAGTAGAATATAAAATGTAACAGCACCAAGGTACCAGGAACTTAAGATAAAACTAACCTTAGCATAAGTGTTGACTATTACTTCAAAATATATAAATGGAAATTTTACGACATACCCCTTAGCATGTCTTGGCATGTTCTTCTACAGTCAAAATAGTTATGGAAATTGTTCTTGTTGCCACGACAACCACCGTAGACAAATTGAATGCAAGACTGCTTATCTGTATCATAATACCAGCGTTTAAACAAACCTCGACAAGGGCCCATATCTTTCTGCATCATGCAGATTTCTGAAATGGGAAGAAAAAGTAAACCAAAATAAAGTTAAAATAAAATATTTTTATGTTTTCAAAAAACCAACTTCAAAGAAAAATCCAAATTAACTGTGTTATAGATCTTGTATAGCAAAATCAATGTAAAATAGTGGAAGGTTTATCTTGGCAGATCACACTTCAGTGATCTGTATCGCCTGCAATCCAGACTCTATGTTTAAGGTTAGAACAAGTAATCAGAACGAATACATAAAATCTAACTGACTAAGATGTATCTTGGTTTTATTTTTATGTACACCATTAGCAAAAATACAGTCACTGTCTATATATTCTAATAAAAAGGTTTTAATGTTCATTCATAAATTTATAAATACTCTAAATGTTAATCAGTTTAAAACTTAATCAAAAACTGCTCATGACACATTGGTGCAGAGAAAATGGCAAGTGATCTGAAATGTGCATTATATATATTTATATTTCACCAGTACTATAGAGTCTCTTCCTCACTCTTAACTTTTTGCTTGCTGTGTCACATGGGAAACAAAAACTGTACATCTTACTATAAAGATGATGTATTATGTGCAATCACTAATCACTCAAGGTAATTGGTAAGATTACCATAATTTTGGTGTGGTAACTGGAAACTGTCCAACGGTAAACGTGGCCTATGTAATTTTAGAATTTTCGCTCGAGAAAAAAAAATGAAAAAAAGACTCTAAAATAGAGCATATTTTCACCTTTTAATAAATTTTTGACATTGAATTTAAAGACGCAAGTACTTACTCAGTTAAATGAATCAATTGCTGCTTTCCACAAATCATGGTATGTAATTAGCAATTAATGAGGGCATTATGGACTTAATAACAAGAGAAAGAAATAATGTTTGCTTCCTCTACGTCAGCTAGTTTTTAATAAAAAAATAGCATTACAAAGTTTCATTTTGTAATTTTGAATTATTTGGGTATTTGGATGTAATGGGCCAGTTCTTGTCCCGGAGAGTTACGTTGGTTATAAGTTTCAGAACACTAAGTAAAGTGTAACTTCACAAGAATGCTGTTGGATATAATGAGTGTTTAACATCGTCAGCAAATGTTAGTCCTATGCTCCACTTCACTTTGAGAGGGGCATTTTAAGTATGATTTTCAAAGAGTGGATACAAGGCTTTTTCCCATGTTTTATTTATACATCCGTCATTGTGCTACCAGCTAATTAATAAATATGATGTTACTAAAGGTTAAGTTATAAACTACTATACATTTTTAGTTAGGCTTACAGTAATTAAGGTTCATTACAATCAATTAATGCCCATAAATTATATTAAACATTAAAAGATCAAACGCATGATAAGTGAAAATATTTGACATAAAAAGTGTGTTTAAATATTTATAATACAATTTGTAACATAATACAGCGAAAATTATGAATTGATGAATTTTACAGACATTAGAATTAGATATGATACTAACATATTTAATAGTTGAAATAACATACTATTATCTTGCAAGTACCGAGTATTTAATAGCGAATACCAGTACTCACCCTTTGCATCTGCAAGATGAGAGATACATGTCGGGTTTTCTGCTTCGCACGTGGTTTTCTGCATGAGTTCTGTGTTACAGAAAGCGAGTGCCGAGGGGATCAAGTAAAGTCGAGTGCGAAACTTCATACCCCTCCCGCACGTGACTGTGCACGGGGACCACCCAGACCACTGAGTCACAGCACACTTGGTGTTTATCTGAAAATACCGAATATTTGTACAGTTTTGCCTGCTGTAACGTAAGATATTAAAAATGTGTTTGGGCTTATTATTAGGTCAGTCGTGAAAAACGTATTCAAATATTCCTTGTCACGTTTAGTAACGCCTTTGCTCGCGTCTAATTACTAATTAGTTTCTAGTTATTTTAAAGCCACTGATTACCAATGAGCTTTTACACTACGTTTCGGCTGCTAATCTAATGCCTTCTTCATAGGAGACCTTAGAGGGCCTGGGTGGTTGCACATTGCCTTTCTAAAAAGAAAACACAGGTTTGAATCCCGGCTCCTTCCATCACATATAGTTCCTCTCAAGACTCCCCTAGGGCAGAATCAGATTAGCAGTTGAAAATATTTTAGGTTAATGTAAAAGACTGCGTTCATTGTTACATTACTCGTCGAAAGCAGTTGGAGCTACTGTTACACCACTTGTGAAAGTCTGTTGATTAAGTACGAACTTCATTAAATATAAATATTTCGATGTTATCAAGACTAACACTCAATCTTAACTTTCAGTAAAATTAGCCATGATGAAAGAGCTAGCACAAACAATCACCAAAAAAATTGGGTAAATTTCAAGTCTCAGAAACCTGAGCGCTTTTGAATAGTTGACTTTTCTTTTTCAGGTATAAAATTAATTACTGTATTATGCTGCTTTTCCCTATTCACAAAGTAGCTTGATTCAAGTTTAATAAATTAATTTAGAAAAACAATTTATTGTTGTGGACCTCAATTAAAAACTCTAAAAGAAGTAGTACTTATTATTAAGCCTTACCTTACAACTATTAACTTCCATGCATGTTCCCTTTTCCACTAAGTTTTCCCGACAAACCTTGCGAGCAATGAGATTCAGGTATTGTCTGCGACGAGTACGTGTACCAGTCCCACAACTTATGTTGCACGGTGTCCACTCACTCCAATCACTTGTTTGACAGCTTACGTTACTAACAGTTCGGAAATTTTTACATGAATATAACATAGCTAAAATATTGATTCAACATTCTTTAATCGACGACTTAAGCAGTGTATTCAAAATAAAACAAAGGCGAAAACGGGTGCTAATTGCCTTACATGTATGTAGCAGAAGGCTTTCAATAAAAAAAAAAAGTTAAAGTGGCGACTTTTCAGATGTCTTCCAACTTCAGACATGACAATCATTAATTAAATATGTGAAACAAAATACAACAAAATGTTGACTGGTAAAACAAAATAGTCTTTCTTTATTCGTCTAACGTCCCTAAACTGTCTAGTCACCAACTATTTTTGGTTTTCGTAGCTTATGATACGAGGATGGGATGACCTCTTCACATTTATCGAAACTTGCTGTCTTATAACTTAGGAAATTATTTTCAGGTTGATAGTTAAGGGAATCCACTGGTGCCTCCATTTCTGAAAGTGGTCTCGACAGACACCTCGGGCTCATCAACATGTTGACTTACCATATGCGAAGTCTTCCTTGATGCTAGCCAGTTGGAATTCTCTCGTCGAGGTATTTCCAAAGACGATCATGGTAGATGACTTAGGCTTGGACCGCCTTCCCTTCTGATTCTGTATACAACATCATTGCTTCTTTTGGCTACAGCACAGGACACTTCCCAGCGCCTACTCAACTTCAGAGATCGTCTTCTCTTGCAGTATGGATTATAAAACCATAAAATGTCAGAAGTATGGAATCCGGTCTTATCAGAATTTATACCATAGCGACTTTTCATCGTATCACTGGCTGATTTACGTTTTTATTGAATAAAATCATGTATGGCATCATTGAGGTTCATTAGTTTCACTGCATACTCTGTGGAATACTCTGCTGAGCCATAATTCTCAGGGTGTGAGTACAGAAGGTCCAATAAACCTTAAGTTTTTTACAAACAAGTGATGCTAGTGTGTTGCCTTTAGCTTTAGTTATCGCTGTTCGATAACCCAAGTGTAGATCTTGATCCATTGTTTTCTAATATTCATCCATATAAATGTCTAATTGATTTAGAAGTGTACAGTTATGTCTTTCTACCATTTCATCAGAAGATGGATGGAGGTTGTTGTCCTGGTCTCTTTCATTCAAGTATTTGACACATTTCTACAAACAAGACTGATTCATTGTTTTGCCTCTGATCTAAAAAAAAGCTCCATAGGCATTCCAAATCTTGAAACAAATTCAACAAAATAATGAGCTTCTTTGCTTCTACACATTTTTAGTATCCAACCCAGTAGAGTTCTTTTATCCTCCACATTGTCTTATTAACACTTAAGTATCCTGAAAGTGATGGAGTGCTTCTGTTTGTACTGACTGTAGAAATACCAACTGAAGTCATAATTTTTGTTCATTTGTATCTTCCAATTTTTGATATAACAGGTCTACTTCAATATACATGCAGTTGATATTAGTGTGTACATAGTTTTAGTTGACATATTTGAAGAGTTGGAGACTTCAAAGTTTATGCATGTTGTTAGAGGGTAATTTCATAGATTGCATTTTTAAGATTTATAGTAGATTTACCTTTTCTATTATTTTTTGAGAATAATGTTCACTTCCTATAGCTGTTTTTTTAATGCAATAGAAACACCTACTATCCTATGATTTAATTTTTTCATTCTGAGACCAGATGTTTAATTGACCCTTTGGGTTCTACTAGACTTCCATCAGTAAACGGTGATGTTAACATTATTTGTTCTAACGATTCCATACCATTTGGGTAGTGCTTTTAGTTGTTTATAGTATTATGCCATGGGTAGCAAAATAGGATCTGTCTCTATTTTCTTGTTTAAACCAATTTTGGGGTTCATTTCATAAGTGTAAAACATGAAAATTTCGAAATGTATTCTCAATTTTTTCAAAACTCGTGTAGTGGCCATTTTTAAATCCAAAATGACCACTAGATATTACCTATTTTTCCATATATTTTCCATTCTAAGATGCTTAGAAACAACATTTCAGTATTACTCTGCCATTTTGGTTTCAAGGAATATTAATAATATATTCTCAGTGTACTGGACATCTTCGTAATACTTGTTTTGATCAAGATACTATACTTCCCTTGACTCTTTGAAGACCTTTTCAAGGTACTAGTAAAGTAAGTCGAGTGAAACATTGTTCGTTACATGGCACAACAATGAAAAAATATTCATCAATTCACACAAAATTTTATCGAATCTAGGAACTGTTAATAAAGGCTGAGTTTTGTTTAACCACTATGTTAAAGGGTTCCTTAAAGAACAAATATGCATAAAAAGGACAAGGGAATACCAGCAGTTAATTTCCGTATAATAGAATTGAGGGATAGTAAAACAAATAGCGATGAAAACATTACTCTCTCACATTGGCACCAACACATCAACTGATTATGCTATTAAAAAAACGTCGAGTCAAAAAATACAAATATTTGAGTTTAAAAAAACAACTGTCTACAACTATGTATCTTATGCCAAAGTTAACACATTTAATTCTAAAATATTCTAGATAAATATGGTAAAATAAAAAATAAAAAAAGCTCTGTTCCGTTTATGAATACAACTTTTTCCTTGTTGAAAAGATATCTAAACTAGAATTCACTATGTTTATGTTAGTTCAATAGCTTACCCCTCACACACAATATAACAGGCTTTATCTTCTACTACATTCGTGACACATTCCATTTTCCGGGCATTTTCTTCATTGATGTAGGTTCTGGTTCTCAGCTGTGATCCATATCCACACGAAACACTACACCGGCTGTATTCTGTCCACTGTGATACCGCACATTCAGTCAGGTTAGGGTAAAACGGATCTTCTCCAAAGGCAACTAAAAATAATTGCATTTTCGTTATTCTGAGAAATATGTTGTTAATACTTACTGCATTAAGACGTTTTACATCATCTTTGGAACTCTTTTAGTTTGAAGATACAGTGAAATGTTGAACACTCATTTTACACGGAAAGTATATATTTCAGTGGTGAAACAAAAACAATTCTTATATTTACACATGTTCTCAACACGAATGTAATTTTAAAATGAACTCATTGGATGGCGCCTCCAAATACAGACACTCCAGTTTTATTCCTGAGCTAAAAACCGAGACAGAGATATGAGAAATATTAATTTTACAAACGCATGCATATGTTTATCACCAAAAAACACAGTCAACAATGCAACACTCGGTTAATTTTTAAGCACACATTCAACAATGCAACACTCGGTTTATTTTTCTAGTCACACATTCAACAATGCAACAATCGGTTCTATCTTTCTTAATCACACAGTCAACAATGCAACACTTCGGTTAATTTTAAGCACACATTCAACAATGCAACACTTCGGTTTATTTTCTAGTCACACATTCAACA